GTGGAGCTGAGGAGCTTTCACTGGTGCTCCAGTTGTGTAAGGCACGAGGCTGGGGAGGTTTTGGTGGTGTCAGTCCTGGGGTGTTTTGGTGATGTCCCAGTCTCAGTAAGGGACTGGGCTGGGGAGTTTCAGTGATGCCACACTCCTGGTGTGAGCATGGAGACGTTTTGGTGGTGCCACAGTCCTGGTACAAGGTTTTGGTGATGCCACAGGCCTGGTGTGGAAATTCGGGGATACCAGTCCTGTTTTGGGGCAAAGTTTTGCCATAGGGTTTTGGGGCTGCCAGTGCAGGTGTGGGGCTGGGAGGTTTCGGTGATGCCTTGGTCTCAGTGTGGGACTAGAGGGGAGTTTTGGCCATGCCCGCTGCCAGCACAGAGCTGGGAAGTTCTGGTGATGCCCCAGTCCTGGCATGGGGCTGAGGAGGTGCTGGTGGTGCCCTGGTCCTGGTTTGTGGGGTTGAGGGAAGTTTTGGTGATGCTCCAGTCCTGGCATGGGATTTGGGTGATGCCAGTCTTGGTGTGGGACTGGCAGATTTTGGTGATGTCGCAGTCTTGGCGTAGAGATGGGGAGGTTTCAGTTTTGGTGGTCCTGCTGTGGGGTTTTGGGTGATGCCAGACCAGGTGTGGGACTGGGGAGGTTTTGGTGGTGCCTCAGCCCTGTGTGGGGTTTTGGTGATGCCAGTCCAGCCATGGGAATTGGGTGATGCCAGTCCTGGTTTGGGGCTGGGGAGGTTCTGTTGGTGCCCCGGTCCTGGCATGAGGCTGGGGAAGGTTTGTTGGTGCTCTGGCCCTGCTGTAGGGCTGGGAGAAGCTCTGGCAGTCCCAGAGTGCTGGTGGTGCCCCAGTCCTGCAGTGGGGTTTGGGTGATGGATGCCACTCCTGGCACGGAGCTGGGTAGCTCGTGGTGGTGCCACCGCCCTGGCACGAGCCCCACCACTGACCCCGGCTCCCCCCGTGCCAGGTGCTTCTGCGTGGAGTGCGTGGACCTGCTGGTGGGCCCGGGGGCGGCGCAGGCGGCCATCAAGGAGGACCCCTGGAACTGCTACATGTGCGGCCACAAGGGCGTGTACGGGCTGCTGCGGCGGCGGGAGGACTGGCCCTCGCGCCTCCAGATGTTCTTCGCCAACAACCACGACCAGGAGTTTGTGAGTGACCCCCTCCCTCCCTTCCCCCAGCCCCCCTCCCTGCTGCCCCCCAGCCCCCTGACCCCCCTGTGGCTCTCAGGACCCACCGAAGGTGTACCCGCCCGTGCCGGCCGAGAAGAGGAAGCCCATCCGGGTGCTCTCGCTCTTCGACGGCATCGCCACAGGTGGGTGGGGGGTCCCTGGCACACTCCTGGGGTGTGTTTGGGATTGGGGGGCGGGGGAGCAGCCTGCCTGCACCCCACAGCCAGCCAGCCTGGGGGCAGAGGGCTGGACACATCTGTGGGACACTCCGGGTGGGTGTCCCTGTGGGCAGCCCCTCCTGTCTGCTGTGCCCCAGGGATCCACAGCGGTGGGGATCCAGGGGAAGGGGGATGGTGGGAGGGGTGGGGCCCGTCATCCATCCCCGTCACCCACCCCGTGCTGCTCCCACAGGGCTGCTGGTGCTGAAGGACCTGGGCATCCAGGTGGACAGGTACATCGCCTCCGAGGTGTGCGAGGACTCCATCACCGTGGGCATGGTGAGGCACCAGGGCAAGATCATGTACGTCGGGGACGTCCGCAACGTCACCCAGAAACACGTACGTCCTGTCCCGACCCCGCGGCCCCTGGGACCCCCCAGACACCCCTGGGACCCCCCAGACACCCCTGTCCCCGCGTGGGGCTGGTCCCTCGTCCTCAGGACGCTGAGGACAGACCTCAGGGACCTGCAGCTCCCTCCTGAGGGGCAGCACCGACCTCTGCTCTCAGTGACCAGTGGCAGGACTTGAGGGAAGGGCTGGAGCTGTGCCAGGGCAGGGTCAGGTGGGATCTCAGGAAAAGGTTCTTCCCCCAGAGGGTGTCTGGGCACTGAAAAGGCTCCACAGGTCAGTGGGCACAGCACCAAAGCTCAGGGACAATGCTCTGAGGGACAAGGTGGGATTGTTGGGGTGTCTGTGCAGGGCCAGGACTTGGACTGATGATCCTTGTGAGTCCCTTCCCGCTCAGGACATTCCATGATTCTCTGATCCTGCTGGGAGCTCGGCCGCCACCACCCCCTGTGTCCCCCAGGCCATGGCAGTGCCCGGCTCACCGGGGGTCTCCTCTCCCTCTTGCAGATACAGGAGTGGGGCCCCTTCGACCTGGTGATCGGGGGGAGCCCCTGCAACGACCTCTCCATCGTCAACCCGGCCAGGAAGGGGCTCTATGGTAGGAATGTGTCCACGGGGCTGGGGATGGACCCCACTGCCGGCCCTCTAGGGCTGACACGGGCCCCCCACCCTGACCCTGGCCCCCTCCTCTCTCCTCTCAGAGGGCACTGGGCGCCTCTTCTTCGAGTTCTACCGCCTGCTCCACGAAGCCCGGCCCAAGGAGGGCGACGACCGGCCCTTCTTCTGGCTCTTCGAGAACGTGGTGGCCATGGGGGTGAGCGACAAGAGGGACATCTCGCGCTTCCTGGAGGTCAGTGTGTGCCTGGGGTCACCCCCATCCAGCCCCTGGGCCCCCCGGGGTCCTGTCCTCACCACGAGGGGCTGCTGAGCCCTGCTGACCCCCCTCTCCCCCTCTTGCAGTCCAACCCTGTCATGATTGATGCCAAAGAAGTGTCTGCAGCGCACCGGGCACGGTACTTCTGGGGGAACCTGCCCGGGATGAACAGGTTGGTGAGAGCCCCCCAGCTCCAGGAGGGTGGGCAGGCTGCACCTCTGGGTCCTCCCCCACTCCTGACATGGCCCTGGGGGTCCCCTGACCCCGGTCAGTGCTGGGAGAGCTAGAGTCTCACAAAGAAGGGATGGCACACCCCAAAAATCCAGCATGGTGCCCCCTTGGAGGGGACTGGTCGTGTCCCTGCTCCCTCGTGCTGGAGGGCTGGCACTAAGCTGCCCTTTGTGTCCCTTGTGTCCCTCCTAGATGGTGGCTGTGGTGGCCATTGCCTGTCACAGCCCCCCCAAAACAGCCGTGGCCACCCTGTGCCCCCCACAAACCCCACCTGGAGACCTGCCCTGCACCCACGGGGGGACAGTCTGGGGACACTGCCACCCTCTGCCCACCATCTCTCCCCCCTCAGGCCACTCGCCTCCACCGTCAACGATAAGCTGGAGCTGCAGGAGTGCCTGGAGCACGGCAGGATAGCAAAGGTCAGCCGGGGGTGGGCAATGGGGGGGGTGAGGACCAAGGGGATGGCCAGTGGTCCCTGGTGGTCCCAGGCTCCTGGGGGTGCAGGGGGATCCCGTGGGGTTGGCAAGGGACACAGTGGTGGCACTGTAGAGTGATGGGAGTTGCCTGCTTGTGAGCGCCCAGTCAGTGGGTCAGGGGGCTCTGTCCCACCTCTCAGTGTGATGAGCCTGTGCCTGTGGGCACCCGCTGTTGGGGGGAGCTCCAGCGTGTCAGGGGGCTTCATCCCACCCCCAGCGTGACCAGCCTGTGCCTCTTGCAGTTCAGCAAAGTGCGAACCATCACCACTCGCTCCAACTCCATCAAGCAGGGCAAGGACCAGCACTTCCCCGTGTTCATGAACGAGAAGGAGGACATCCTGTGGTGCACGGAGATGGAGAGGTACCGGGGGCTCCGGGGGGCTCTGGGGGCACAGCACCGTGTCCCACCCGCAGCCCTGACCCCTCCTGTCCCCTCCCGTGTCCCGCAGGGTCTTCGGCTTCCCGGTGCACTACACGGACGTGTCCAACATGAGCCGCCTGGCCCGGCAGAGACTGCTCGGCAGGTCCTGGAGCGTGCCGGTGATCCGCCACCTCTTCGCGCCCCTGAAGGAATACTTTGCCTGCGTTTAGAGACGGGCAGGAACTGGTGACACACACGGAGCGAGTCGGAAACAAACCCATCCACGCCAAGAGAAGTGAACACACGGAATGAGAGAAGAGTCAGCACCCAGAAGAGAGACGGGATTTCGCAGCCCGACGGGAACCCAGCACACGTCTCCCCGAGCGAAAGGGGTCGGTGTCCTCTCCTGAATTTCCAAGGGTCAGCTTTAGCCTATTGAAAAACAAAACAAAAAACCACAAAAAAAAAAAAGGAAAAAAAAAAAAAAGAAGAAGAAGAAGAAAAAAGAAAAGAAACAAAAACCAAAACCGTTTTTTTTTTGGGTAACCTTTTTAATTTTCCGCTCTTTTCTGGCTGGGTTTTCCTGTCGGTTCGGTTTCCGCTTCTCGGAGCAGCGGGCGAGACGAGACCGCCAGCGCCGCTCTCGGAGGAGGGGAAACGGCAGCGGGAAAGCCCAGCCTGGGAGGGAGGCGGAGGCGAAGGAGACCCGCTCTGCTCCGAGACCCGCTCCGTCCGCGCCCAGCGCCCGCCGGCCCGGCCCTGGCAGCGCCCGCCCGGCGGCTCCAGCGCCCGGCGGCTGCGCCTCGCTCTGTTCCACCAGCACCGCTCTCCGGTGACATGGAGCCAACCCGCCCGGCAGGGAGGCCGGGAACACACACACCACACACACACCTTTTCTACAGTATTTTGGGTGCCTACCACATGGAAACCTTGAAGAGAGCAGATCTTAGAAGCCGCTGTTACCTCTTGTTTACAGTTTATATATATATGATAGATATGAGATATAGATATATATATATATAAAAGGTACTGTTACTACTGTACAACCTGACTTCATAATGGTGCTTTACACAGCGGGGTGAGTCGAGACATCAGCTTCCACGTTGCCTTACGTGCCGGGCCTTTCCGAGCGAGCGGCAGGGCCGGGGCGGCCGGGCGGAAGCGTCTCCATCCCGAGTCATGCAATAACCTTTTTCTGTCCCAAACGGAAGCGCCTCGGCGGTGCCCCCCTGCCCCGCCGGCGCCGCCGCCCCGCGCTCCCACAGCGTACTGGTGCTCTTCAGCGTACGTGGCGTCCGGCAGAGCCGGTGCTGGGTGTCCCCCGGCGGCAGCGGGGGGGTCCTGCCCCCGGCCCTGCCCCTTCCCGCGGGGGCTGCCCGCCGGGGCGGCGCGGGGCACGGGGACGCCGGCAGGGCAGGGGGGACAGAGCGGTGCCGGTGCTGGAGCGCGGCCGGGGCGCTTCTGGCATGGCACAGGGATGGCTGCGGGCCCCGGACCCTGGTGCTACATCCGCGGGGCCGGGCTGGCGGCAGGAGGGCGATGCCCCGGCGAGCCGGGACGGGGCCCGGGCGGTGTCACCGCGGGCGCCGGGGCACCGCTCCTCTGCCCACGCGCGGTTTGGAGCGAGCGCGTCCCCCCGGTGCCCCTGTGGGGCGGCCCCGTGCCCCGCTGGGGGGTGACGGGTGCCCGCGGGACGTGGCGGTGGCGGCGTCGGTGCCGGGAGCCGCGGTGGCAGGAGCCGTGGTGCGAGCGGGCAGGGCGCGGGCAGGTGCTGGCAGTGCAGTGCGGTGGATGGTGCTACTGGTCTGGCAGCTGTGGTGCCGTGGGGTCCGGCCCGGCGCGGCCGCGGTGCCGGCAGGGCGGCCGGACCCGGTGGGGCAGGGACTGGTGCTACGGCGTGGGGAGGCTCCCGGGGGGTCTCGGCCCGTCGCCGTCTCTTCTCTAACTGTGAAAGGTGCGGGGCCGCGGCGCTCGCTGCCGGGTGCTGGCTATGGCAGCGAGCCGTGCCCGCGGCCCGGGGTGCTCAGAGGTGCTGGGACCGACGGCGGCGAGGCAGGCGGGGGGCGGCCCTGGGGCTCCCCCACCTCCCCACCCCGCCTGGTGCTACCGGGGGCCCGGGGGCCCCTCTGTGGGTGCGGCGGGCGCGGGGAGCTGAGCCGGCGCGGGGCCCGGCTTTGCCCGGGGTGAAGGCGGCGGGATGGGACGGCCCCGGGCTCTGAGCCGGGCTCTGGGCTCAGGCTCGCTCCCGGGGCCGGATCCCTGCGGTGCCGGGGCCGGGTGGCACAGGGTGGCCACTGCACCGGGCACGGGTCCTGCCCGGTGCGGTGTGAGCCTCGCACGGCCCCTCAGCCCTGTTTGCGGGGGCTACCGTGGCCCCACGTGTCCTGCGTGGGGCACAGTGGGCACTGCGGGTTCTGCACGGCCCTGCAGCACCATGTGGGTCTTGCTTGGCCCTGCAGCACTGCTTGCAGGTCCTGCACAGCCCCCGTGGCACTGGCTGTGGGTCCTGCCCGGCCCCACGGCCCCAGGTGCAAGTGCTGCACGGCCCTGCAGTGCTGTTTGCAGGTCCTGCACGGCCCTGTGGCACTGGTGCTGATCCTGCATCGCCTTGAGGTGCTGGATGCTGGTCCTGCATGGCCTTGAGGTGCTGGATGCTGGTCCTGCACGGCCCTGCAACGTTGTTGGCAGGTCCTGCACGGCCCTGTGGCACTGGGTGCTGGTCCTGCGTGACCCACAGCTCTGGGTGCTGGTCCTTTGTGGCCCTGCAGCTCTGGGTGCTGGTGCTGCACCGTCCCGTGGTGCCGTCGGTGGGTTCTGCATGGCCACGTGCCAGGTTTGGGGGTCCCGGCGGACCCCCCGGCCCGGCCCTGCGGCGCTTCCTGGGACCCTCTCGGCCCTGCTGCACCTTTGGGGGGGTGCTGGGTCCCGGTGGGTGCCGTGGCGAGGGGCCGGCCCGGCGCGGCGTTGGCACATCCCAGGCAGGCCGGTGCCGGTGCCGGTGCCGGCGGGAAGCAGGTTCCCGCTGGGAACGGGCGCCGGCGGCGGTGGGGACCCGGTGGGGACCGTGGGGATGCCTGGGGCAAAAGGCGTTCAGTTTTTAATGTACCCGACTCACGTCTTTTTTTAAAAACAACCAGACAAATTCTGTTGCACAGCCCTAGATGAAAACTCAAAACAACACAGAAAGGCCTAAATTCCTTAAGATCCGCCGAGGGAGTGGGGACAAACACGGTGCTAAAACATTTTATTAAAAATATATATTGTTAAATTAAGTCTGCTGTCTGGACAATGACTGTTTTGTTTCTCGTAGTGGAGTTTCAAAGAGCACTATTATTTTACTCTTATATATTATTATTAAAAAAAAAAAACAAAAAAGAAAAAGGCATTTTAACTTTGTACTTGAAAACTAAACGAGAGATTTCATGTGTTTTAGCCTAGACATTGAAGTAGCTGACGCTTAACTATTTGTGGGAATCATGTACTCATCATCCCAAGGAATACGCGCGTAGAGCTGGTACCCTCCTTCCTCCCTTTGATTTGGCTCCACCGCCACATTCCCGGCGCCGCCGCGGCCGCCCCGGCTGCTCTCCCTCCCCTTTTCCCGCCCCCCCCGCCCCAAAACACCCCCCCCCCCCCCCGGTTTATTTTCTACTTCTCTCTCGGTTCGTTGCCCCCGTTTTTTTGTTGGTTTGTTTTTTTAGGGTCGCTTCTCTATTTATTGCCGCTGAACTGTGCATTTCACGGCCGGAGGTGCCGCGGGCGCCCGGCGCTGTTGTATCTGTGTGAGTATTGCTCGTGACATAGCTGTTCTGAACTAATAAAGGTCAATGCGTGCAGCAGATGTAGAAAGTCTGTCCGTCCCGCTTCCATCCCATCCTCCTTTTCTTTTTCTTTGGTGCCCAGAAGAGTATAATACAGACAAGCTCCTTTCTAATGTACTTGTGCTGGAGAACACTTGAATAAATGTCCTGTTTTGTGCAAAAAAAAAAAAAGAGAAAAAAAGAGGAAAAAAAAAAGAGGAAAAAAAAAAAAAAAAAAAGGGGGGGGGGGGGGGGTCTGTGGGGGGCGGGGGGGGGGGACCCGGGGGTGGGGGGGATCCCAGCAGTGGTGGGGGGATCCAGATGATGGTGGGGCCCTGGCAGGTGCTGGAATTCTGGTGGCTTTGGGGTCCTGGTGGGCAGTGGGGTCCCAGCAGGTGGTGGGTCCCAAGGGGGGGTAGGATCCCAGGAGTGGTCCCAGGGGGCAGGGGGCTACTAGTACAGGTGGTGGGCTGCCAAGGGGGTGGGGTTCAGGCAATGGTGGGGTCCCAGGACTGGTGCTTGGATCCTGCTGACTGTGGTCCTAATGGGTGGTAGGATCCCAGCACAAGCAGTGGGGTCCCAGAGGGCAAAGGGTCCCAGCAGGTGGGAGGATCCAGATGGTGGTGAGGCCCTGGCAGGTGGTGGGATCCAGGTGACTGTGGGGTCCTGGAGGGCAGTGGGGTCCCAGTGGGTGGTGGGATCCAGGCAGTGGTGCAGTTCCAGTGGGAACTGGGGTCCTGGTGGGCAGTGGATGGGGTCCTGGCAGATGGTGGGGTCCCAGTGGGCACTTAGGTCTCAGCAGGTGGTGGTGTCCAGGAGACAGTGGAGTGTGGGTGAACAGTGGGGTTCCAGCAGTTGGTGGGGTTCCAGCCCAGAGATGACGAGGTCCCGATGGGGTCTCAGGACAGTGGAGTCCCAGTCCTGGGTGTGGGGGCTGTGGGCTGAGCCCAGCTCCCTGGGGCACTGGGGGCTTTGCTCGTGCAGCCCCGGGCCGGGTGTGGGGGTGCAGAGGCCCCAGCCCAGTGGGACCCCACATTTCTGCCCCCTGAGCTGTGGGTCAGGAAACTGCCCCGTGCAGCTCCTGCCTCAGCTCCCCCTCCAACCAGGCAGTGCCAGGGGAATGGTGGGACTCCTGGGGACCCCCAGTCCCTGTACCAGGGGAATGGTGGGACTCCTGGGGACCCCCAGTCCCTGTGCCAGGGGA